TTTCTGTGTTAGCTCTACCATCTGTTGTCTAGCTCATTTATGGCTAGCTAAGCTTGCAAAAAACCCAGGGAGGAACTGAAATGAAACAAATGTCCTTGGGGAAGCTGTGTTTTGTATTTCCCACAGCGAGCAAGCACTCCTGTGCTTTGGAAGGGCCTACAATACTAAAACAGGGAGAAATAAACATTAGAAGTGACCAAAACCAAAGAGAATAAGGAAAGAATGAAACCTGTTTCATAAAGGCTAAGTAATTGAGATCTGTGACAGCAGGTCTGCATGCTGAAAAACACCTAAATCCTTATTCGTGCTTCAAATAATTGAGACTTTGTTTAAATAGTCTGCCATTAAAATCCAGTGAAGACCAATAGGAACAGCCTAATTAGGGCAGCAGCTTCTGCATTTGAAATGGTTGGTCCTCATGTGTTGCTTATGGCCATTTTTACTTTGGTTTGTGTACACTGATTTTTTTTGAGAGAGACAGGGCTGATTTCATCTGATGGAAAGCCTGGATAACTTGCTGGCTGAGGCTTCTATCCCTGGGGAAGAGAGGGGACCCAGGTGTCACTGGATAACACCTGGTGCTAAGCAGTGCAGATGGCAAAGACTCTGGGATGCTGCTGCCCACCTTGCTTCTGCTGGAGGGGCAGAGGTCATCTCCAGCAGCAGCAAGTTGCTGTCTTCTTGCCCTCATCCCCACAGGGTGGTGAGAAGAGGGAACACGGCTCTTTCAGTCTTTCCTCTCCGTACCAGCTCCAGCCTTTGCCTCCTACCCTTCCCTTCCTACAGGTGGGAAATTTGAAGGCTCCTCCCCAGGCACAAGATAAAGCTTTCAGACCTACAACCAGATAAAGGCACAACAGAGGGGAACTCAATGAAATGGTGTTTTTTTACCCTGTGATTTTAGAAACCAGCTGAGGAAATAGCTCTATTAGAACAAAAGTGACAGCTTCCAAGCTTTTGAGGAAAGATAGAAAAGGTGGAAGAGGAGGAGGGGTTATGCTCTATGTAAAAGAGCGTTTTGAGGGCATGGGCAAGAGGACAGGTCAGCTGAGTGCCTTTGAGTCAAAATCAGAGGGGTCACCATCAAGGACATGCTTGTGGTGAGTGTCTGCTATGGATGACCCGATAGGGAAAGAGAAACATGAAATACTTTTCAGACCACTTGAAGATGGACAATGGCAGCCTTGGCTGCAGTGATAAGATTGTAGAGCTTAACATCCCAGGGAGCATGAAGAACACAAGTGGCAGAATAAAGCCCCAGAACTTCATAAGAGCAGATTTCACCTTGCTCAGGGAGCTGTTAGGAGGTATCCCAGAAGAGTCTGCCTTGGAAGCCAAAGGTGTTCAGGAATATTGGGAGACTTTCAGAGATAGCCTTCTCCGAGCACAAGAGCAGTCCATCCACCTAAGTGGGAAAAGAAGCCGGCACAGCAAGAAACCAGCCTGGTTAAACGGTGAGCCACTGAGAGAACTAAGATGCAAAAAAGGAACATGAGAGAGATGGAAAAGGGAACAGGCTTCCATAGCAGAATATAGAAATACCTCCTGGGCACGCAGAGATGCGGAGAGGAAGCCTAAAGCCCAGCTGGAGCCTAAAGTGGCAAGAGATGTCAAGAGTAGCAAGAAAGTACTAATATATGGTATGTAAGTTAGCAAATACAATGACAAGGAAAAGGAAGGTCCACTGCTGAGCGGGGTTGGCAAGTTACTTACAAATGACAGAGGAAAACCTGAAGATTTTCCTTCATGCTTTCTTTGTCTTGATCTTCACGAGTAAGGTCAGCTTCCCAAGTCTCTATGGAAGCAATGACGAATTAGATAATGAACTGCTGACAGTGAGAGAGGGTTGAGTTAGCTGAAGTAGGTGTTGGTTTCTCCCAGTTGCCTTCTCATTCGTGCCTGGAAAACAGCTTCCATGAGGACCCATTCCATAATATTTCAAGGAGCTCAAGTGAGGCTGACTCATGTGTAATTCCCCAAGTATTCTTTTTTGCCCTTTTTTGTAGATGGGTGTAATATTTGCCCTTTTCCAGTCAGCTGGGACTTCCCCTGAACTCCATGACCTGTCAAGGATGTTAAAGTGTGGCTTTGCAGTGAGGCTGGACAACCCTCTCAGCAGCCTTCGATGCATTCTGCCAAGTCCCATTGGCTTGTATATGTCCAGCTTTTACAGGCGGTCCCCAACACTCCTGAGCTCCCCTTCCTTGGGAAACTTCCTGACAGTTTCCAGGGAAGTTGAAATCAGGCCAATTTTGTGTATGAGCCCCTATGTATAATGTATAGAAATCTGAGACTGCCGAGAGAAATGTGATGCAACAGACCTGTCAGCTTCAAGGCAAGTAAAAGCTAGTGCAATGCCCAGGGATTGATCAAGTGGTCAGGCAGGCTAAGGAATGAGCCAGAAGGGCTGTGGTAATCCTCAGCCAAAGCAAAGAAACCATAAGCCAGCTAGCCAAAAGAAGAAGAAGAAAAAAAAGTAGTGTTAAAACACATCTGATTAGACACTCTGGCATACCCATCTACCGCAACAGGGTTCCTTAATGTTATGCTGTCATTGCCTCGTTCAAAAGCTAGAGAGAATTGTAATAATGCATTTTTCCCTGTGTTTGTGCTCATGTATGCCCACATTTAAAAAAAAAAATAATCCCAACAAATGTTTGACAATGCGACAAGAGTGCTGGAGGGCCTTGAAGGCAAGACCTGAGGGCTAGCAAGCCTTGCTGCAGAGAAGACGTTATCACTTGGTGAACGCAACAAGCTTTGATGCCTTACAGAAGGAAAAACTGGGCAACCAGACTTACTGAAGTGAAAGCAATGGGAAAAGTATCTGCTGGGGTTTGTCAAGGGCTCCTCTAAGAAACCCCTAAGGAGGAAACATGGGATAACAACAGAGGCCCTTGAGAATACATGCAAAAACTGCACATTGCCCATTGAGGGCTGCAGCCTTCCTTGCTGGGTGGAATGGGTTTGAAGGAATAACAAAGACTGAAAATAACATATATTCAACGCAAATAAATCATCCCATGTACAGTGGAAATGGGAAGGCAATCAGAAACTATAAAAAACCCTACAAGAACAGGAAAAAAGGAAGAGAGAGGAATTTCTCCTGCAGCATGTCCTCAGGTAAAGGCACCATGTGTGATCAACAACACCACTTAGGCAGCAGCACTTTGTCCTCTGGATTTGGGGAGAAGAATGCTGCTTTCTGATTTTCCCCTTACAACATTTTGTTCCTGTGGACTCAGTAATTGTATGTAAAGTAGTACCTTTCACCATGTAATCAGGTTAAATAAACTGGGATGTTAGGAAGCTGTTCCTCTGTGTTTTGTTTTCTGCTTCAACCTTCCCACTCAACAAAGTGATTGACACCACCGTACAAAGGCAGAGTAAACTTGTACGGCAGGGCTCTGGGAGAAATCATTTATTGTATAGCGACAATTCACTCTTCATTCTGGAAATCAAGAGAGCAGCAGGCAAGAGGAAGAGAGAGGAAACACATTTCACAACAATCTTTTGGTCTGAAATGGGACTCGTTCCCATCAGCACCTGGGATCCTATCCCCTTTGCTTCAGCAGAGACTGCGCCTGCCACAAGATGACGAGTTTGATTTTTCCAGAGATACCACTGCAGCTCAGCCAAGGTGAACGTGAATCACTGGCACTGAGCATCCTGGGGGGCAGAGGGTGGGAATCCTCTTAGGCCAAGTGCTGCCAGGCAGAGCTCTGTGATGCCCATATCTCCAAACAAGGGTGCTGCAAAGCAGCGTCCTGGGCAGGCTGTGGGGAGGTTGCCCTAGCGTGTGCCTTGTGGCTCAAAAGTACCCCTGATGAGCTTGAAGAGGGCAACAGCCACTTGGAAGGAGATTTGGAAAGCTAGCTTATAATCATCGAATAGCTTAGGTTGGAAGTGGAAGGGACCTTTAAAGGTCATCTAGTGCAACTCCCCCCTGCAGCGAGCAGGGAAAGGTTTGGAGTGGTTCAGCATTCCTTGCAAGAAATCTCAGACAGCTTGGTCAAATACACTTCCATTTTCCAGTGACTATTATTAAGTGTCTATTAATAGTATATATTACATGCTCGAGAAATAACTTTTCCACATGAAGAATTTGCAGCCATTTTACCGTGTCCAATATCATGTGCTGGCAGAAGTGAATTCTCCGATTGTTGTATATGGCTTTTATGGGTGGTGGTGAGGGGGCACTACTGCCTAATCTGAATGGAGGTATCTGATAAAGCTATAGCTCTGTTAAATACCCAATTAGCACGTAGACATCCTTCAGCAGGGTTCTGATTTATAATGGACACAGGGCCATAGTTGCTTAAATAAAAGGAAGGGAACCTGAATGGGCAAGTAAAAATTGTGACATTTTAGTGATGCTACTCCCAGGTATGATGGTATAAGCTTTGCAGAGTGATTTTCAGTCTCTGCATGAACACATAGCAAGCACACAGATTAGCAGCAGTTATTGTCTATATTGATCTTTAATGTCATACTGTTTTCCATGGGGATAAGAAGGGCCACTCCAGTGCCCTTGACCAAAAGGCTGCTCCTCATTTTCCCATGGTTATATGCAGAATTACTGCTGCCCTTCCAGGCTGTGCTTCAAGAGCACCTGGTATATTCATTGGGGATAATGCCATATTGTAACTCCTCAGACTGAAAGACTTATAAAAATGCACAGTGTAGGGGAGGAGACTTCAGGAAAGAGTTGGAATGAGTGCCCAGTTCTCAGCTGCAAAGCATTACCCCACCAGATCTATGAGAGCTCCTGTTCAGTTCCACACGTGTGCACGGATGCGCTTGTGCATTATTGTGGCACATACTGGGGAAGGGAAGCACTTTCTCTTAAAACAATTCTACATACCAAAAATGTTACAGAAGCCCAACCAGGGATGTTTTTATACTCACATTTGATTTTTTTTGTGTGTGTCAAAATAAGCAGGGGCCTATCATAATATATTTGATTCTCTTCATTAATTTGTATAAAGTCTTCACTCAAGTAGATCTTTAAGATTTTTATTATCATTAATTATGTGTATTACCATAGCAGCCAGAAGCCTCCAAATTAGTGCCCAATGCATAGGGCCCCGTTGTTTTTTAACACCTGTTTGTACAAGACCCACTTCCAAACTGACAACAAATGAAATCATGAGGATAAAGAAGTCCCTTTGTGGTCCATGTCTAAGCAGCCAGGCAGAGACCCAGGGAACATGCAGCATGCTGACGAGTGTGATATGGCTTCTTCAGTTTTGGGTAGACTCTGGAGGAAGAATAAGAATCAGATGTATTGGCACATTGCATTTCCCCTGAGGGAGCGGGCACAGTGCTGAGATCATTATGACCCATTTCTTCATGCCTGCTGATGACCCCAATTTCAATCCTTGCTCGGTAGGATCCTGTGATTCAGTGAGTGAAAAACATGTCATTGCTGAGGACATGTAGTAAACTTCCCATTGTCTTCTCTGAAATCAGGATTTTGAGCCTGCTCTCTGGCGGCAGATACAAACCATGGGAAGAAAGAAGCTGGAGGAGGAGGAGGGGACAGACCTACAGACAGGTAGTTTACCCAGAGCCAAACACAAGAATTCAGTTCCTCCTGCCCTGTAGGTGGGGTTGGTTGAATGCTTTCCAGGAAAATATGACTCAAAAAAATGAAGATGAACTGGGGAGATATCTGCACCACCTTGCCTGAATGTGATGGTGGCTCTGTTTCCTTGTCCCTGTTGCACCAGTGCCTAGGGGACACAAGATTAGGCCAGAAGAGGCTCAAAAAAGGTTGTTAAAGGATCCAGCAGGAAAGACAAAAGAATACCACAGTAAGAGAGAACCTCAGTTACACACCTTCAAAGAATCAGAGGTAGCTTGGGCTGTCACTGAATGGGACAACCTACCTGCCTGGCCAAGCCTAGGCTAGGGCAGTCTAGTTTTGTGAAGGCCATGCAGAGGTGAAAGGGAGACTGGTTGTTCATGCACCATATTTCTGCTAGCCACCCAAAAGAGAGTCTTGGATGTCTCTGCTGAACTTTATATACCAGATATATAAATAATGCAGAATTGTTCTCCTGAGAGGTGAAGGTGGCTAAGCCTATACTTTTGTTTTATGGATGAGAAGCTCATCATGACACAGTTGTCACTTTGTCAGCTTTATAGGTGCTCTTCACTCACAGAGCAGTACTATTGCAAACACAGCAGCTACACAGTGAACCCCTTCGCTCTAAAAACCTCCCTGGAGAGGAGCCCGCCTTACCAGAGATCTTTTCTGCCAGGGCAGATGAGATCATGCTAGATAAGAGATCTCTTTGCTGTCTGACAGGAAACACAGCACTGACCTTCCTGAAGGCTCAGACTGAAGATAGCCTCCTGCAGCGCTCACATGAATGTCAGAAAATTACCCCTTGTCAGGAAATTCTTAAAAATGTTATCTTTTCCTCTTGGGAGTTCCTTGAGCCTCTCTCTCCACAGTGGCTGCTGGAGAGGACTGCAGGATACAGGACTTGAACCAAAGCCAACTGAGTAGCTGAGACTCCTTTCTAACTACAACTACTATTATTCTTTAAATCCAACCCTTTGGTTCCATTGCTTTTTATCTCTCAGTGTGACAGTAGCTACACTCTAATTTCAGCTCAGACAAGCTGAGCTCTGGAAATGGCTTCATGCTACCTACAGTTCTGATAGCTAATGAAAATATAGGAGCAAATGACAAAATTTTTTGGGCAGATGAAGGAACATGTGTTTGACTCTGACCAAATTCTCCATCTTTGTATAATCTCTCCCTCTCCTGTCACTCAGGAAATGTCCACAGCTGGTTATCGCAGACCCTTCCTCCACCTCCTAGCAGCTCTGCGTCTTAAACTTCAGTGATGTTATTCATGCCGGGCACATCACTCATCTTCAGGGATTTGAATTCCTCCGGCGAGGTGCAATAAGGCAGAGGTGAATCAGGGTCCAAACCCATAAATGTTCTTTGCTCAGGATTAATCTGATAGGCTTGTAAGGCATATCAGCTCTGTTTTCTCTGTTGTCGTGCACTTGGGGCAGGGTTACACCTATTCCTACCCACAGGTTAATAAGGGACAGACCAGGATCTTGGATCTGGCACTGGTTTGACACTGGAGCGTCTGCTCCCCTGGGGAAAGATCAGAAGGGTGGACACCACCTTCCTCATCCCTACAGGGAGGCGAAGGTCAGCAGTGACACTAGGCTCAGCAGCAGGCATGGCCGCCGCTTCCTTCCACCATCAGAGCCATGGAGGAGGCCCAAGACTTAGCAAAATGGGTGCAGCTTAGTTGCAAAAAGATCACTCTGAGGCAGAGCTCACGGGCCCCTTTCAGTGCGGCCCTCCGCCATGTCATCCTCTCTCTGGGAGCGCCCCGCGCGCCCGGCCACCAAGTTCAAGGGCCACCAACGCTGCTCTCCTCCTCGCCAAGTCCCCGCACGCCCAAAGGCTCTCCTCAGCTCTCCTTTTGCCGCTTGCCGGGGAAGAGGTGCCGGGGAGCAGGGGGCAGGTGGGTAGCCTGCTGCCCCTTGAGGGAGAGGAGAGCCCTGCCCCTGCTTCTGCGACAGGGCAGCACACCCAATGGCAACCTCCTTGGTGGGACCACCACCACCACCACCGGCATGTGTGCCACAAGGGTCCTTTCCAGCTGTAAAACTTCCCAGAAGACACCAGGAGCAGCAACAGTCTGCGAATCTGTCGTGATGCCCGGGATGTGGGCAGCCCCGGCCCGCAGCAAGGACTCTGGCCCGCCTCAGTTCAACACTTTCTCCGAGCAGTGTCCCAGCCTCCCCTCCTCCTGCACGGGCTGCGAGGCCTGGCCATGGCGGGAAGGGCCCAGCTCCTGGGCCAGCTGGCTGGAGGTCCGCCGTGTCCCCCCGCTCCCCGGCCCGGGGCCCTGTAGCTCGGCACACTTCTCCTTGTAGTGCTGCGTGTTGCCGGCGAAGGTCTCGCAGCGGCTGGGGTTCTCCTCCTGGACAGGGCTGCCCACGTTCTCCTCACCTGGCCCCGCCGCCGCGGCCCCCTCCTGGGAGTTTTGGCTAAGGTAGACAACAATTATGTCGCCCTTGAAATTCATTACTTGTCCACTTGAGATAAAGGTGGAGTTACTGTTTCCAGTCACATTTCCTGGGGAAGGAGTGGGAAGAAAAGAAAGATACAAGATTAATATTTTCCCCTCACAAGACGGACACTTAGTGCGGTGAACTTAATCTACTGTGGTGGCTTTAGTCTTGTTCCATTATTTTTTTCCCCCCGTGACAGGAGGATGCTCTTATAATCAACGCCTTCCACTGGACCTTTTCATTATTTCCGTTTTTGCCTCCTCAGGACGAAGTGTGTCATCCACAGGGAGCCTATCTGGGAGGCTGGGAAACATTTTCTCTCTCCATCACAAGAAGCAAGAGACTGTGCCACCATCTCACCCTCCCCTCGCTGCCTGGTGCACAAGCTGCATCCAAACTGCTTCTGCCCACAGTTTGTGAGGAGATGGTTATCATGTCTAATTATGAGGTTTCTGGGTTGTTTTTTTTAAGAGTCCTAGGCATCACATTGTGGATTTTTTTTCCACTTTGGTGAACAATCAACCCAACCCTACCTGGGCTAGGTAGCAGGCTTATTGAATAAATACTGAAAGGTTTAACATCAGACCACACAGTCACACAGTGTCCAAATGACACAGAGCTTATACGATTATCTTATATTGTCCTGATCCTCCACGCAGGTACACTCCAGTACTCACCTAGTGCCCTCATGGATTTACCTGGATGTACACTGACTCCAATGAAGAGACAGAGTCTATATTATAGCAACCTAATGGAGTTACAGTTTGAATCAGTCTGCCTGTGGTTAGAGCTTTTCCAGTATAAATTCAATCTTTCTGCTATTCAAGGACTAGGTCACTGACTCAAGTGACAGCAGGACCGGACTCTGGGAATTAACAAACTAACAGACTTGTTAAAGTTTGAAAACTAAACAAACCAAAGCAACCATGTAAAAAGAGGGGGAAAAAATAATCTTCCTAGCCTATGAAAATTCCTCCTAAGAAATGTTCTTCCTGCTGTGCTTCACTTATTCATTATTTGTGAACTGACCTGACACCTTTCAGATATTTTATGTCTTTCCTCATTACGTTCCTCAACACTTGAGATGTTCCCATTTTCATTGCAGCTAAGCACAGCCCAGCCCAGAGAAATGCTGTTTTTCTAGGGGCCACGGGTGATGTTTGCTCATCAGCAATGGACACTGGGCTCCAGCTGTGCTGAGTTAGGACCTCCGCCTGCTCATAACTGAGTCTGGGTAGCACTTGAGCATCTCTCTAACAGCCCTCCTCAAGCAATCCTGTTTACTTTAGCTAAACCACTGCACTGGTGTGCACTCTCTGCCTTCTTTCCAAGTGTTGTCGATTAACGTGAGACGTCAATAAAAGTTTTCTCTGCAGGAGTTATTTCCCTGCCAGTTGCTTCCCCTGTGTTCGATTTGGTTCAGCTGTTTGCCATCAACACAACTGATAGGCATAATAGCAGCACAAAAATAACTGTTTGCCTTTATACAGATTGCCTGTCACTCACAAAAGGTGCTGCAGAAGAGTTTACCAGTGCTCAGTACGAGATCAAGAATTCAGAAATATATTTGACAGTGGGGAGGGAAAAGAAAGAAAAAAAAGTAGATTAACACATATTGAATGTGGCTGACAAATCCTCACTGCCTTGTGAAGACACAGTGCTGAAAAAACGGGTATTTGAGGCCCAAAAGTGCAGAAAATAGACACAAGAGCTTCCTGGACTGCACCAAGAGATGCGCTTCTAACCTAGAATGTATGAGACACCTTCAGAGGATAGGTGAAGGCATTGCTTTCTGCAATGTTTCAGCCTTTTGATCTCTTCAGACTACTTAGAAGATACTAATTATAATGACAGATTAATTTTTGCAGTAATTATTCACTAAGAACTGGAACAATGCAGGTGATTAATTTTCCCTGAGCCATCTAATGGCCTTTAGGTGGTACGAACTGTTTGCTGCTGCTGAAGCGGGCTGGTTTGGGATATGGAAGTGAAAGGCTCTGCAAAACCATTCCTGACCGTGAGTCACTGAAGTCTTCCCACACTCATGCTTTATGGTGTAGCACTACACATGACTTGAGGTGCTTATGAACCAATGCTTCATCTTCTGACTGCTTCCAGGCTTGGGGGGTTTGAAAGAGCACTTGAAGGCTTACCTCCATCTCTGGTGGCGACTCCCGTAAATGGCACCTCTCCAGAGGTTTATTTTGGTCCTCTAGGGTTGTTTCACAGGAGGGACAGAGTCTGCACTTTCTGTTGTCACTTTGAATATTAGGGAACCAAAACTAAAACTTCATGGAATTACCCATGGCCTTTTTCTTCAATTTTTCTGTCTTGCCTGACTTTTGTACTGTTCTGTCTAAGCATGACTATGCGCAAAGCCTGGTGGCTTCAGTTGCTTTGAGAAGCTTACAAAAAGTTATTTCACTTGCACATTTATTCTATCTGGGTGTGTCACAAGGCCCAGCAAAATGACTGATGCTGTTGCAGCTCCATGTGCAGCCCTGGCATGGCCAGGGTACTTCAGTGTGGAAGCTATGGCTAAGCCCTGTCCCACTCCTGCAACCAGGTGTTGGCCAGCAGGGCATGGCCATTCTGTGGACAGAAAAGACTCCTGTGCAGGAAGCCATGTTACCCACAAACTAAATAATACACACTGTCATACTGCCCACAGCACTACCAGTACCTGCTGGCAGTCCTGCCTAAAAAATGCCCAATTAGGAACGCTGTATCTGTGCTCAGGTTTCACCAGATGGCACTATAGCATGTACATACCCAAAGGCGCAGACGCAATTAAAATCTCGTATAAAAAACTGTGCTGCAGATCGAAGACAGCACTTTCAAGCACATCGCTAAAATCCAGGCTCTCCTGTTTGCCCTAGTGCTTCCTAATATTTTCTCTTCCTCTTACATGTCAAATTTAGAAAGAAAAGCAGTACTTCTCCAGTGCCAAATACGACTTGACTTTCAGTTGTACCTCAGAGTCACCTTCCAACAACAACAACAACAAGATAATCTATGTTCTCTTTACTACTGCTGAATTTTGTACAGACGAGGCAGTGAAACTGTGTCAGGAAACTGAAGCAGCCAAAAAGAGTATCTGCTCTTAGAAAGATGAAGGCTACACGCTTTCAGATTCCCACACAGGATGCATCTTGGGAGGGGAAGGGCCTTCAAAAGCGATGCTTTTGGGCTTTGGCAGACCGACAAGAACGTCTCCATAAGAAACTCTTAAGCCACGACATGGTTTTAAAGAAGGGCAACTGCTTACGACTGCTGTGTGTATCACATACTTATGTCCCAGTCAAAGCTAAGGTCTCATTATAGTTGGCAGCGCGTTGATGTAAATAAAAATAGAGCATCTGACTTTAAGAGATTGTAATCTAAAATGACTAATAACACATGACAGACAGATTGCAGACTTTTATACTGAAAAAAAAAAAGTCTCAGAGAGGAAGGTTTTATCCAGAAAAGGCTCATAACTTCCCTTCTGCTAGTTTTGCTTCAATGATTATTTTTTTCCCTGCTTTCATTTGACAATTTTGATGTATTTACTCAATTAGTAAATTGGTAGTCAACTAGTAAATTGGCAACAGTGTTTCAGAGTTGTTAAGGGGACAGAACACTTGCATATGGAGAAACAACATCTGTATGAAACTATTTTTAGATGAATGCTTATATTCCAGCAAATTAAAACAAAGAGAAAGAGCAAAAAGCAGGAAACTGAATATAATCTTTTAGACCCAGTTGTGGCCACGGGGTTACAGCTCCAGCTGGAGTTTCGCTTACTGCCATGAAATTCTAACTGGATTTAAACCTAATGGCAAAAATGGGCATGCAGATTGTTGAATGGAAAATTGTCTGTCTGAGCATTATGCATCCTTTCTCGACTCAGTCTCTAGGTCCCTTTACTCTCCTCCTCCTAAGTGCTCTCCAAAACATACAGCTGCTATCACCAAACTACTTCAGAGCAGTAACAGAATTGCCTGGCTTTTGCAGTGACAGCCAGAAGATGGGTTCTGCATTGCTAGTTAGATCATGATGCCTCACTCTTCTCATACTATTTGCAGAACTCACTACAAACCAAATGGCCTTACTATTTCAGGTTGGGTTTTTTTTCAGATTAGCTTCGGGGCAATTAAATGAAAAAGGCATCAGTTTATTCTTCTCTCCTTCTCCTAAATCAGACCCTCTGAATAATACTGAGCTAGCACAGAGAAAAATCCTATATGACTGTGTCAAGCCTAATGGGCTTACCAGATGCTGGAGGGAGGTCTGAAGTGCTGCTGCTTGTCCCTGAAGTGCTTCTGTTTGTGCTCTGGTACTTCATGTTGGTATTATCTGAAGATGCATCTTCCGTACCACGATCACTTGCTAGAGAGCTCTGACCAGCAGAGAGACAATTTAAGCCACAGGTGCACTGTGCATAGGATGCAGTTTCTGGGGAGGTGGAGGCAGTGTCAGCCACAGCACAACAGGGTTTGCTCCACTTTCTGGGAGATTCCCTGTATGAAATGCCACACCTCACACAGATCTTCTCTGAGTCATAGTTTGCTGCAAAACAATCTGTGTCTTTGTTGCCTTTTTCCTTCAGGCAACTGTGGGCATGTTGGCAAGATTTCTGGAGAAGTTTGTCCGTGGTAGTGTGTGCCCCATCCATGTTGGAGGAAGGGTGAGAGCCTTGAGAGATTGATATGTCCTCTGTGCTCCCAACCCCTGAGAAGTACTGATTTAAGCTGTCGTTCTCCCCTGCTTCCATTGGTTCTGAAAATGATGACACGGTTTTACTGGCAGTCCGACTCAGTAAAGATAAATAATCAGTGGTATTGAGATCCTTATCCGTGTATTCATCTTCTGTGGGAACTGGTGGGAAATGGTCATCACCAGTCTCAGTTTCCATAGAAAACTCTTGGAGGCTCCCTCCCACCTCACACGGCACCATGCCAGGGCTCCCGTTCCTGCAAGGAGCCTGGCTGCTGGTGCAGCATGAATTTCCAGAAGCAGGAGAGCCAGCAGGGCCCAGGAGACACATGCCTTCAGAGGTCTGAGGGACAGGAGCATTTGTGATGTTCATGGTAACACATGCATCTCTGCGGGGCTCCTGAAAGAAATCCAAAAGAGAACGATGTTTAATAAATAGATCACCAGAAGGTTATTTTCTAGATAAAGAAGGAACAGGCAGATCTCAGTTCTCCTTGGTGCGGAGCTGCTGAGGTTGAGCAGCACCACTATATTTGAGTCTTGAAGTGTAATTCTGTTCTGCTATGAAACTGTGACCCGTGATGCTGGGCTCAGCAGGCTTTTAGAAAAAAAATATCTGGTGGCCAATAACATTTAATTTTGGGCTGACTATTCCTAGTTCTTAAGAAGGCACTTGACAGTGAATAAATACAGAAGAGTCGCTGGATTCTGCTGGTCTTTATGGACCATCAGTAAGACCTACCTAACTCTTATAAGGTTTGGAAACCCCCCCCAATCACTTATGTGTCTGAAGGGCTGTTGATCTGTGAAGACCTTACCAGAATCCTTATTATGAGTAATGATCAAAGAAAGGAACTCATTTGATTCAGAGGGCCCGAGACAAGCTTGAAAAAAAGAAGTCACATGGGCAAGGTTGCTTTAACCTGGAAAACGTTAGAAGAACAAACGCAAAGGCCCATGATGTCACGTTGCCAGTACTTGTCAAATAAAGCTACGTTTTTGGCTGCTGCTCCACAAAAAGAGGGCTGGGAAATACTTCAAGGGTTCCCTTCAGTTCATGCAAGTTGTGCTGTAATGATGGGTGTCTGGGAACCACCACCTTTCATTTCTAGTGTCTGTTCAGATCTTCCCGGATGGAGGAGAGAGTGAAAATGCTGCCAGCCACTAATTGCTGTTGATTCACTCCTCTGTCCCAGAGGATCTGAGCCGCTGCCAACGCAGGAGGCTGCATGAACACTTAACAAGACAAAAAGAGGAACCCTCTGCTCAAAAAGGTGAGTTTGGGTGGGGGTTTTTGTGAGCAATGGAATTTGAGTCTTTTGACAGCTAAGCTGGACAGAGCGCCTAGATGGGGTGATGGGAAGAGCATGCACCTGGGACACCTCGGTCCACATCCACGGTGTGAAGCAGGCAGTGCACATGGAGTTGAACCTGTGTCCCCAGTCTGAGTGCTTCAAGCATGGGATCTGGGGCTGTTGCGGAGCAAAACTTCCTGAAAGGCCTTACTTTTCTCGCAGCTGAATGGACAAGAGGGACTCCTGTGAGCATTAGCATTAAGGAGTGTCACAGGCAGTTCCTTCATCTGATGGCTCTGGGCTTAATGCCTTGCGTGTCTGGCATTCCTGGCATTGCCCCAAATCCAGGTTTCGCCCCTGTGAGGGCTCTGGTATGTGAAAACATGCAAACTCAACTGAAGTTTTTCCGGCTCTTAGGAATTAGAAAGGCTCTCTCCCAAGCAGAGTCTCAGGCGTTCAGCAACTGGTGGGCTCATGTTTAACTTTCTCCTCATAAATGTTTAATATCATCACAGAGACTTTTAGCACTGTTAAAACTGGCCGAAACCAGAGAGCAGGTTCAGAAACTATTTGAGAGCAGTGATTTCATATGCCTCACATTTACAGAAAACCAGAGCGAAAAAGCCAAAGCTGTGAGCATTTTTTGAGGAACTTAAAACTCGCTTTCTGGCCAAACATTAACGTGAAGTCTGCTTCACGTTAGGGTGGTGTCAGGAATGTCATGAGGAAAACATAAACCGGAGAGAAAACGTTAGTGTCTTTGACTTTACCTTTGTTCCTTTTATTTGGCTGCACACTTCGTTAGCCCAATTCTGTAGATCTGCTGGTGGGGAAAAAAAAAAAAAAAGAGTAGCTGTAATGTATAGCAGGCACTGAAGTTAGCCACAGACCTAAACACCCACAGCCATTTACAATCCGCAATATCATATTAAATGAAAACCAGCAAGACTGTTTTTACTGACTCTTCAAGCGTCCCCAGCGTCAGTCTAGCTGAGGATTCATTGTAACTGGAAGAGGGATGTATTTCTATGGAATAAATGTTTCCAAGCTCCTAAAATAGATGACGGTTAAACTGTGTTCCACATCAAATGGAGTTTCTTTCCTGGTCATATGTCACACCAAGCTATGACTGGCCCCATACCGACCCACTTGCAGCCGTACAGTCTATTTCAAGAGAGGTCACATGGATGGCCCGAAGACCATTCTCAGACAGGAGTGAGGAGCCTGGAGAGAAGAGGGTGAGCCACTGAAACCTCAGGATGGCACACTCAAATACAGTGTATTCCACTTCATCAGGGTGTACTGAGTGGGGAAATTCACTTATCAGAGTATCTCCCAAGGAAAAGCTTTAAGTGCCACAATGCTTTATAGTAAAGACTGCCACTTCAATGGAATTAGCAATTCTTCTTGCTTTCTATTTATACTTTCAGGAGATTTAGTAGGACTCGGGTCTAGTATATGTTTGAAGGTTGTGCTGGTTTGGTATGTCTGAAGATAGATCAGCTATGTAGCCACTGCCATTCCCAGCAATGACTCTGCTCCTCTGATGTTAAGTCTGCACACATTTACCATCAGTGCCCAAGCAGGCAGAGGCTTCTCCCGAGCCTGCAAGTCTCAGGGGCTCCGGTAGCAGGATTTGCCATGCAAAGGCAATGAAGGACTATCACTGCAGAGCAGGAGGGCAATAGAAGTGTCAAATAAAGAGCATCCCCCCCCTCAAACCTGCTTTGCATCGTATTTGGTTTGCAAGGAGAGTCACCATTTCCTCCAGCCCATCCCAGGAATTCCAGATTTAGCACAACCCGTGTTTAGTGCGGCAGAGGCAGCCTGTTTCTAAAACACAGGCTCAAATACACTTTACAAGAGGTGGTTGCTGTCTTCCCTTGCACTGCTCCCAAAAAATACCATAAACTGCTAGGGTTTGGGAAAGGAGATCACAGAAAACTACGCTAGGAAAAGCTTTCCACGTGTAGGGGGAGAAAACAAAAAATGAACAGAAAAACAGGAGCATGAACTTAACTAAGGAGATCCAAGACTTAACACAGAGTTGAGTAACTATTGGAGGTATTTCCACTATATTTATAATATATTAAATGCCTCACTGTTATCCAGTATCCCTTTGCTAGAGTTTTTCTACTTTTATATTCTGTTCCTCCTGGTATTTCTTCTGTACCTCATGAGAACTTTGGCCTTCAGCTAAAAACACTGCCTCCATGGTGTTTTCAAAAACACATCAGGCTTTTGTCTTGAAATCCGTTGTTTTAGCCCATCCAGATGCAAGTTTCAGACAGGGGGTGGTGAAAGCCCCCTACATCTTTGCCTGCTTCCCCTTGGCTGTGGGATGTGCTGTGCCAGGTGGCGCAGAGCGGCTGTGCTGCTGTCAAAGCCCCCAGCACCAACCTTCTTCCATCCACACAGCAGTTGTGTCTGCCCCGAAGGCGGTCACCCACGGTCAGGGCTGCAGGAGGATGCCCAGCGATATGCATTACGCGTGTTGTTATACGCTCCCTGCCTAGAGAAAAGGAATTTGAAGCCTGGATTTGTGCTCGTTAAAGCATATCCATACGGACAGGTATTGGCATAGCACAAACTTCCAAAATAACTCCCGAGTCTGTTAACCTGGGGGTTACCCATAAAAACAGAGTGCATAGACAGCCATGCACTTACGAATATTTGCATTCATGAATATCATTCGCTATCACATACCTGTCAGCTTTTTTCCCTTATTCTTGTAGTATACGATGATGATGACAACGCCAATTAGTGCCACAAAAAACAAGATGACAATCAACACGTATAAGATCCTGTTTGTTCCTGCAGGATGTGAAAAAGATAGTGCCATCAACATCTGCCTGTACTCAGCAGTATGACCATCCTTGCTCCCTTTACCTGCTTTTCCACAGGAGAGGGGTTTTATTCCTTCCTGTTTGATTTTCAGTTTCTATACTAAGGACGACAACTCCAGCACTTGTGCAGTTCTGTGACAAGCAGCCTTACTGAAGGTACCTGGTACTGAGCCATCTTCATAAAAACCAGAATCTTGGTGTCTCAGGGAGGTGTGATCCAGCCATGCTCCTCTGAAAGTCCCCTTGCAATGTGCTAGCAGCTCATGGGCTGTGTGCTTGCTCTCCCTCAGGGGACGGAGGGCATACATCTCATGGACACTATAGAATTCAGCTGGCAAGATTTACCCTTTATCTCAAATTATGAAGGATCACGGCATGCCAGGCAATCAGCCTCCCTGGTACCTTGCCCACACTGGAGAAAGAAATGGGCAGTGGGCAAGAAGGGAGAGCTACATTCAGCTGAGAATGTATGCACTGCTACACAAGAAGCATGGAGAGAAGCTGGTAGCTTGTACAGATTATGTGTGTATGGAAATCAGCAGGCTGAAAAAATGAAAGAGCTGTAAAAGTGATGGAGATTGTGAGTATAACAACAGTGCTAGTTGCCATGCAGTTTCAGTGGGAAGTGTAAAGGCTCTGCTCAGTACTGCACACTGAACTTAGAGCTGACAGGCTTAAAGTAATCTTTGAAGTTGGGATTTTCCAAGAGCATTTCTTGGTCTACAGCTGCTCCCTCTAGAGTCACCCATGACTCCATGTGAATGGAGTTTTAAGCCAGCCAAGACCCTTAGTAAACACATCCCTCCTCCTCCTCCCTGTACTTTCTAACAGCTAATGTGTATGGGGACACATACCATCTTCTGATGGCTCAGGCACCTTCCGTTCTGCGCAAACTGCATCTGACTTGTCAGTCCCAGGTGTAATTTCTGCCGTTCCTAGAGCTGTACAGCTGAAAAAGAAAAAGAAAGGGGCTAGGTTCTCAAAGAGGGAGCTTATTGTGGCTCCTACAGTTATACAGAGTAGCACTTTCTGTTATAACCTGCATTTCTCCACCCTGAAGAAGCTCAGATACCTTCTTTATTTTCAGCTGTGTTAGCTCACCAGTTTTGTTGTTACTGCTCTCTTTTGCTCCCCCCCCAAGGAGAATTCAAGCTTCAGTGTGAGAATGACTTGATCCCTGCACAGCCAACAGAGATGCTCTGAGGGCTCTGCAGACAGCCTGAAACACTCCACTGAAAAATGCTTTCACCCAAGCTTCTCTCTGCCTTCAGGCTGTCACGGTCCTTCTAAAAGATACAGGGACTTACTTGGTCCAGGGTTTACACTTGTCAGTAGATGAAGCGACCTCTGAGAAGTAGCCTCTGGGACATGGTGTGCACGTGGTGTCCTTGTCTTGTTGCACTGTGAGTAGCAAAGGAAGAAAAACTTCATGGCTGAGTTTCCATGGGTTCCTTTCAGGTGAGGGGAAGGTGATTGTCCTCCCCATCCTCCCGCTCCGCACTCCCCAACTCCCCTGAAAGCTTCCCTGAAGAAGGAAGGATCTTAGCCTACATTAGAGCACTAATGACAGTCACATGTAAGCAGAAAAAAGTATGCTTGTCTCACCTGAGCACTTCTCTACATGATCAAAATGAGAAATGACCAGGAGCCATTTGCCGTTATTGCAAAATAACACACAGCTATTATATCCTTCCCCTTCCATTAACTTCCTCGTGTCGATGCCATGACACAGACAGTGATGCTGACAGGTATTGTCACTTCTATGAAGCCACAGTAAACACAACGCTGTACCAGGATTTGCTAGACTGGAGAAGAAACAACACCACTGTGCTCCTGGCCCAGGCAGCATTTAATCCTCCATGACTCTATTAATGTGCTGCTTATTTGAGGTTCCTCATGCTTGGCACAGCTGTCCACAGTGTTCATTACAACTCTGAATCTGACTGTGTCTCTTTTCCACCCACAAAATGCTTGCATTTTGTTTTTGATCAGACTTCAGACTAAATCAAATGTCTGTAATAAATCTTTGCATTACAAGTCATCTAAACCAGATTACTTGCGCTACTTTTAACTTGCTTATGGCATTATAAAATGGCAAAAATTGGACAAAAACCGATTTCAAATCCGACCTGAGGAACAATCCCCCATGGACTGCTTCTCTGAATACTGGAGCAACGTGTGACCTAGCGACTCACAGTCAGACACCTCAGCAAACATTAGAAATGCACAGAACACCTTTCAGCTACTGCCATGTCTATGTGATATCTTGCAAAAATGGCTTCATTCAACATATTATTTAAACTACAGAGGCAGAAGCCTTCAAAATTCAAATAGTCCAAGAGGGTTATATGCAATAGTAACGATAAGTCAGATATGCATCTTCTGCTGATAGCCAGAAGAAGCCAGTCTAAAGTATCCTCTCTAACATCACAGCCCACATGATGCCAGCCTCGTCCGTGCAGCCTGAGCTGGACAGTTCACTTTGTACATCCCCTTTTTTTCTGTGTCTTACCAGGATGCTCAGCTCCAAACCCTGCAGCACATATGGTATTTCGCTGACAGCAGTCACAGTCTTCATTCCAGTGGTAGCCCACCGTACAAGCACACTGCCGCTGGAACGTGCTGTTCCCCGGGTTCACTTCTCTCAAAGCTTTCCCTAAAGAAGAAAACAGATTGGAGTAAAAAATCTCTCTGAAAAAAACCTTAAGTTTATGAATCTCCTGTTCTACCTATTTGCTTTGCTTAAGTGCCAGATGTAAAACCATTCACATTAGAAGAAATGTTATCTTTCAAGAAGCATGGGAGACCCGTGGTCAGCACAGGGCTCCTCACTGATTGCCCTCCTACAAAAAACTTTTCCTTGTAGCTGCTGTAGAGAATAAACATAGCTTTTGCAAGGGTGAGACCAATGTGTTAGGGGAAGGGAATGCACAGTATGCTGGGCAAAGGACAACCTCTAAGATCAATTCACAGGAGTGAATGGCCCCAGTGAAGAAAACCATTATCAGGAGCATGGAGAGCACAGTCATGGTGCTCAGCACATCACAGAATCTCTGCTGTTTGGGGGACCTTCCTCTCCCCCAGGCTCTTCTGCAAGCCCAGCCTCCAGGGTTGTGTACCTGAACAAAGCCACTTCCCTAGATTCTGTCTCCGTGCTTCACTAATTTGGACTAAAAGGTTCTTCAGCATGAACAGCTCACCTTGATCACATATTTTATGTAGTAAGCATTTATCTTCTTCATTCCAGACATCCATGTACTCATTTGGGCCACACGGCTGGCACACGCTATCGGAAGTACCAGTGCATCTAGCAGACATATACTTTCCTGTGAGTGAGAGAAGGGCAAATAGCTCATTTGCAAGTAGCATACCAGCTGTCCAAATTGCTTAGGGAAAGTAACAAGTTGGGCTAACACTGTCATAGACAATCATTTCTTCCTGCCACCTTTTCAGTTCCTCAGTCTGGCCCCCATTTAGCGTGGCACGAAGCTTGTGGCCTGGGAGCAGTCCTATCTACGAGCAAGAGAATGAAGCTGCTTTCTGTCTCCCACAGCGGTGAAGTACTATCCAAAAAAAAGAGCTGCTGTGGCTTTTGCTGAGGTCAGCAGGTCCCTTTCGGCCCTAGAAGACACTCAATATGCTTGAAATCATGCACCTGTGAGAGGATGTGCCAATGGATTAGCAGAGGCAGAGGAGCAAGCTGCCTTACTGACCCACAGAGCTGTTTCACAGATTCGACAGAGTTGGAAGGGACCTCTAGAGATCATCTAGTCCAACTCCCCTGCTAAGCAGGATTGCCTAGAGCACATCACAAGACTGCATCAAGGGCAGCTTGAAGATCTCCAGAGAAGGGGACTCCACAACCTCCCTGGGCAGCCTGTTCCAGGGCTCTGTCACCCTCACCGTAAAGAAGTTCTTCCTCATTTTTGAGTGGAACTTCCTATGTTCCAGCTTGTGCCCATTGCCCCTCATCCTATTGCTGGAAACCACTGAAGAGAGTCCATCTCCATCATCCTTCAACCCACCTTTTAGGAACTTGTAAACATAGATGAGGTCTCCCCTCAGTCTTCTCTTCTCCAGGCTAAATAGCCCCAGCTCTTTGAGTCTTTTCTGGCAAGGGAGGTGCTCTAATCCCTTAATCATCTTGGTTGCCCTATATTGGACTCTCTCCAGTAGTTCCCTGTCTCTCTTGAACTGGGGAGCCCAGAACTGGACACAGTATTCCAGTTGTGGCCTCACCAGTGCAGAGTAGAGGGGGAGAATGACCTCCCTCAACCTGCTGGCCACACTTTTGCTTATGCAGCCCAGGATTCCGTTGGCCCTCTTGGCGACAAGGGCACATTGCTGGCTCATGGAGATTCTGCCATCCACCAGGACTCCCAGATCCTTTTCCTCAGTAGTACTTCCCAGAAGATCCACCCCTAGCCTATATTGGTGCCTGGGATTCTTCCTCCCCAGGTGCAGGACCCTACATTTGCCCTTGTTGAACCTCATTAGGTTCTTCTCTGCCCAGCTCTCCAGACTGTCCAGGTCATGCTGGATGGCAGCACAGCCCTCTGGAGTGTCGGCCAGCCCTCCCAGTCTGGTATCATCAGCGAACTTGCTGAGGATACACTCTGTCCCCTCGTCCAGCTCATTGATGAATAAGTTGAACAGGACTGGGCCGAGTATTGACCCCTGGGGGACACCACTGGTTACAGGCCTCCAACTTGACCCTGCTCCATTAATGACAACCCTCTGAGTTCTGTCACACAGCCAGGACTCAATCCACCTCCTGAGCTTCTCAGTACAGCCCAGCACTCACATACCTGGCTCACACTTTGTGCAGCACCGCCCGGAGTATTCATAGTGTTGTTCGCTTTCACACGGCAGGGTGATTTGTAGTGACAACTGTAGCAGAGAAGGAGAGAGAAGACATGAGAACCAATATACCTGGAGAGCCTCACACCTGCCTAGTCACAGTGCTGGGCAGAGAGGAGGAAAGCTTTTCTTCTGTATAGCACCTTGGATAGCTGTGCAGTAAAAATTACCCAACATCTATGACTGCAGAGGCACTTTGTAGACACGCTAAGAATATGAACTTGATGCTGTACACACAGGGACTTGTAATATAGCCAGGTGATAAATAAATAACACAATCTAGCAATTTGCCGTGAACTTTTGGCCTGCTATATAACCTTTTATAACTCTGTTATTTGAAATCTATGACTTTAAAACAATTGTTAAGAAGAAAAAAAATTGGCATAGAGATACTTCTGTAGTCTCTTCCGCAGATATGACCTCAGACCAAGACCCAAGCAACTGACATAGTTTTAATGTGTAGCATTAAGCAAACAAGTAAGGTGAACGATTTATACTCCCGAAAAAGAAGAAGTTCCCAACTTCCCCCTGGGATACACAACACTCCTGGCTAGTCCCAGAAAATATTTGGCTTAAATTTAGCAGCTTTTTATGGCTCCCACTGACAGAGAGATGGTCTCATGGAACTAAGGCAGCCACCCAGAGAGCTGACACAATTAAGCCAACAGCTTTTTGTTTCTCGGAGACCAAACCAAAAAACACAAACCACCACCCTCCAAACCACCTGCAACTGTTAGATGAAAGAGCATCTGCAAAGCAGGTAGCAGCATTGCCTCTAGTTCTTATGGGTCTCAGCATTGCCTCTCTGCTCTTAGCTGTGCAGTGGCCTCACCTGCAGCTCATTTGGCTCCCTCAGCTGGGCTTTGGGGCACGGCTTGTTCTGGGGATCCTGGCCAGCCAAGGACCGTGTCCAGTCCCTCGCTGACCCTGCTTTGGCCACCCAGGAGTCTCCCTGCAGTGATCTTCCAGGAAAACTCAACGCCTTATAATCTTACAATAGATAGGATGATTCAAAACGTGGCCCATAGCAAGGCATCTTTCATATCCAATCTTCCAGTTGGATACAGTTGTTAAAATCTCATTTACTTGGAGAAAGCTGCAATAAAGCTTCTGCTGCTGGTTAAAGGGAGCTTTTGCTGTCTAATAGCATATGACAGCCCCGTGCCTACTAATACAGGTTTCCACTGCTCTACTTAGCCTTCTCCCTTTGTTTCCTCCAACTCTTTACTTCTCTTTCCTCCTTTTCTCTGTTTCAGCAATAGCAATCTCTTTGAATAGAAAATATTTTTCGCGAAGCACCTTATCCTCATCTAATGGTGGGAAGGGTCTTGTGACTTAAACATGACCACAAAGGCTGAAAATTTTCTTTAAAACACCCCCTTTTGGCTTGGAGTTTGAGCCATGGGTTGCTGCATGACTTGTGTTTATTAAAACTGCACGAGCTGCATCTGGAGCAGAACAAGTGCCTCAAGTCAGAGGTCTTATGTTTCTATGTTTTTGCAGGTTATAAACAACTTACAGTCAATTTTTTAATCATTACAACAATCCCAGGTCAACTTAAGAGTCTAGTCTTGCAAGAAATCTTCTGTTGTCTTGTTGTTTCCTTGTCTCTTCCTTTGCATTCATTAGCAGTACCTTTCTGGTGATTAGATTGTATGTTTTTTGGAACAAACATTGCATTTCGTGCTGGTGCAGCACCTCCCAGGAGGGGCACAGGATAATGATCAGTGCTGGTGAAGCAAGAGGTCATCTAGGAAACGGAAGCCGGGGCCAGCCTGGGAGCTGAACGGTGACACCGCTCAGTGTCCCAGGGGAAACTCTGAAAACACTCCTGTGAGCTAAGGAGCTCGTTTTCTGTAAAGCACTTCAGGCAGCATCTGCTGAAACGTTAAGCTGGTCAGCACGGGGGTGAGGTGACGTTGCAGGACCAAGCAGCAGAGAGGTCTTGAGGGACGGATTCCCTATTCCCAGTCATCCAAAAAGGCAACAAAAGGGATGAGACCAACAACAGGACCTGTCACTGGCTTTTTGTCACAGAATGTCATCTTCTTCCTTGTTTGCCCCAGTTTGATAGTTCCTCTTTAGAAGAAAAGACTAAAAAATTACTGAAGTGTCAAACAGGGGCAAAGTCATCCTTTTTAAGGAAGGATATGCAAATCTCTAAAGAGCATTCAGCTAAAGGCTCTGGAATAATTTCTGAGAATCACAACTCAGCCTGAGGAGAAGCAGCAGTCCCCTGGTGCTGAGGCTTGGAGAGCAGGCCACCTTCTGCTCCAAGAGCTCAGCCACCTTTTGGAAATTGTTTAGTACCTCCCTACTTTATTGTGTGAAGAGAGCAAGTGTTACGTTGCACTCACAGTTGCAGCTGCATAAATCTACACTCTTATGTCAATAAGTAGTCTCTTCTGCGACCATGTCCTTCCCCTTTTCACACAAACCAATGCATTCACAGAGCTGCACTACTCTGTTCCTTTGATTTATGCTCAGCAGCATAAAGACAAGAGCCTCAGCATCCATTTGCTAACCCCAACATGAGCCCAGTCTCCTCGCAAAGGACTTTGGCCTGGTATGGACTGGCTGGAGCTGCTGAGCGTGAAAGCTCGGGGGAGGGAGAGGACAGGAAGGGAAACAAAAGCAGCTTAGGGTTTTCTTAGGGTGGGAGCTGAACTTCAAAGAATCCTAGGATTGTCTAGGGACCTTTCAGATCATCAAGTCCAACCATCAACAACGCTGCTAAACCATCACTAACACACTGAAGTCGGGTTATCCCTTGTTGAACCCTCTGCCAGGGGACTGCACGTGTCTCATTGTCAAACCATACATCAGCTTCCCTTGGGGGCTGCTTCCAGCACGATGACCTGACGCGTGGCCACCACCAGTGCATTCCCGCCACAGTGTCCCTCTGAGACGGGGAAGTGCAATTCATTTTGCAGATGAGGAACTTGCACCCAGAGGCCGGATGGCTTTACGGAGGTGACAGGAAACCAAACCAAGTCTCCCAAGTCTCAAGTTTGGCCCATAACCCCTGAAACATCCTTCCTCTCATCGGATGCTGGCCTGTGGGTCAGAGTGATTTGGACATCACCAAGCTCCTATCTAGAGAGAGAAGGGGCCTCGATGAATGCAAAGGTGTCAACCTTCTCTGAAGTCATTAAGACAAAACCCAGTTTGGTCATTCCTTTGACAGTCCTGCTGTTGATGAAGCTGTCCATTAAATCCCACCACCATGTGCAAATGGGTGCTTCAAAGAGGTCTAGGTATCCTTTGCAAATTTAACTTGTCACTTAAAAAGCATACGAAGCACACAAGTTTGCACCAGTTCCTAAAAACCAGTCAGCTTTCCCGCTTGATTAACATTACATCAGAGTGAGTGTATCTGGCTGGGGGAGAAAAGACAAGCCTCCTCTGGGCTTGGTGGATCCGGTTCAGCAAAGCTTGCCAACACCTGCTTACTTTTAAGCACATGAGTAACATCGTTGAATTCTTTGGAAAACCAGGCAATGCTTATGTCGAGGTTTGCAGGAGGACTAGCGTTTTGGTGTGGAGCTGCAGCAGCCTTTTCAGCTGCGTTTCCCCCCCCCCCCCCCCCCCCCCCCCCCTAAAGCCCAGGTCAGGGAGGACGATGGCTAATTGGTTCTGCGGGGTTTGGATGGTAACGACTCAGACCAATTATAAAATCACCGGGCGGCGAGGGGACAACAGGGTCAGGACCCTGCTGGGGCC